AACAATAAACTGAAATGGAGGAGCTTACACCATAACCTGTTCATCTGATAACATTTGATTACATTATTACTGACTAAATGAATATTATGTTACATTATGGTAAAGACTGTTTTTGTTGTTTCCTTGTTTTTTTGTTTTTTTTTGAAAAACTAGAACTATGAAAAGGAAAAGTTTCCTGTTAAAATTCAACAAGCCAATGCCTATTTCCCACCTGGGGAAAAGCAGTTTTATGATGAACAATTTTAACTGACAACTGTATGAGAGTAAAATATTGTCGCACTAGTGAGCATAAATATTCAGTTAATATTTAATACCGACATGATAAGTTCACACTCACAATGTACCACATAGCTGTCCAATTTGTATCCCTTGGTGGAATTGTTACTGTAGATTTTGATGTTGATGTTGATAGCCACTTACGGGTCTTTATTACCTGCTGCTGTACTGAGTTAACCTATGTGCAATTCAACATGCAGAAAAGATACAAAAGTAGTGACAGGTAAGAAGAAATGACGCATGTGTTGCACTCTTTGTCATAAATATATGTTAATTACCTTTCACATGAAAATGTACACATTAGTATAAGTTCAATAAGCTAAGAAAGATTCACTCAATCTCTTTCTGTCCAAAGAAACTTACATTTGGCTCTGCAGAAATTCCCTCCTGCACATGAGTGGCAGGTACTCTGGATTTTGTTATAACCTTCTTATGTTGAAAACTGTAGTAATTATTCAGAACCTATTAAGAAAAGCAAGATAGATACAATCCTGAGGACAAAAAATGTATTGCCAGGCAAGAAAGCTAGGTGGTGGTTTAATAGCTAAACTTACAATTTACATTACACTATGTATAGTCAAGTCTGTGTAATGAGGGGAAAAACAGAATGAAGAAATATGCCCTGTAACAATATGAGTTCATATTTAGTGAAACCAGATCATCCTGGGATTCTTTGTAGCCAAAGTCATAAAGACATGAAAAGAATTCTCCTTTGAAGAATTCCTTACTGCAAATAACAATTGATGAAGAATTCTTTCCTTCAATTTGAACTAAAGTGAGAAGTTTCTTTGATATCAATGTTAAAATAAAAATGATAAAAAGCGAATGTCATTTTGACCCACCAAGGTCATTTTCAAGTTTTAGTAGAATAAGAGAATTTTGAAAAAATCATAAATCTAATAGCTAAAACACAGAGGGGAAAATGTGTCAGAATTGCATCTCTCACTTTAAGTGAGCTGAAATACTGGCATTAAAGCCTTCCATATTGTACATGACATCTCCAATCACTTGATGTTTAGTCACTGGATACCTCTTACTGCAGAGTCAATACTACAATTAATATAAAATGAAGTTTATCTCAACAAAATCAACTTGATCATTTCTTGTTTTAGGTTTAGTGATATTTGGGAGTTACAGCACAGAGAAAAAGAGAAAGAAAGGAGATACAGTCATTTGTTCATTTGATAATTAGACCAAGGATTGATAAATTGTCACAATTTTCTCCTCCTTTTTTTTGGTTTCATTTCTTTCTTTTTTTTTTTTTGTAATCTGTTGGCAACTTGTGTTGTAATTTTAGTTGCCATATTCTAGTTGCCATAATTATTTAGTTTTCACTGGCCATAGTGACGAAAATGGTCACCGCTTGGGGTGCTGACCAAAAGTGTATTATAGTATTATTAATACAATCTGATAGCTGCAAGATACATGCTCTATTAAGACGATCTGATTGGTATGAGCAACTTACCACTCTTTTCGCTGACGTAGTGTCAATNTGCGATACTAGTGCAGCGCTCTTCCAATTGAGCAAACAAGCCAACTGGGAGCAGGCCGTTACGTTTTGTGAGGCGTGAGTAGTCCAGTGGTCAGTGCGCTGGACTCTGGGTTAAACGGCCCGGGTTCAAGTCCTGGCTGGGGCTTAACGTTGAGTCCTTAAGCAAGACACTTCACTCACATTGTTTCGTCTTCTCGGATAGGACGTAAAGCCGGAGGTCCCGTCTCTTAAAGGGTAAGGGGTAAGAGACGTTAATTTCCCACGCACGAGATTACTGTGTGCTGGATGTCCTCCCCTGGGGTGGGTTGGGTGGGAAAACAGCAGGTCCACATCAGCTTATACAGTTGCCAATAAATTCAACCTGCTTGAACAAATAAACATGATGATGATGATGATGATGATGATGATGATGACAACTGGCCAAGACTGCGAATTTTTCGACCACACGGGTTGCAAACGCGATCAGAATATGTTGCAGGATCGTGCAACAATACTAATCCGACTACAAACTTCTGCTAAAACAACTCCAAGGCTTGTCCTTCCTCTACGGTAGGTTTTCCGAGGACCAGTACACTTGTTTGCTAGGAATATTTCCAAATTTCACTTTAAAAGAGCTTTTGCAAATCGTACAGCTGTCGTTAGGACGTTTTTCCGACATAACCTCACTCACATACTCGCTCGCTCGATCAATTCTGTTTCGCACGAAGTTGACAAATACACGTGTGTCAATGTGTAAATTAGTATGAAGTAAATTTTTGGCTTCCACCCGGTAAAAGCAAAAATCGATGTTCATTGGCAGCTTGCATATTTCTGGAAAGGCGGTCAAGCGCTGCTAATTAGGGGGCGTTTTGCGAAATCACAGGCTTTGCGGGCAGGTGTATTTTTTCCTTCCCCTCGCTCTCCCCCGTTGCCCATTTTTCCACTTAACACCTATTCCCTCGGCAAATATTTCCACGCCCCAATCCTCCACAATTACCAAATCTAAGATGGTGGCCTAAAACGAAAATGTGCACTCGTGCGCCCAAAATACGCCGGCACTGCGGGCTATTATAAACCTGACTTTTTGAGTGTTAGGTCTTCCTTACAGCTATAGAAGGGCTATAAATGCTTTTAAACTCTCTACGGTGGCCAATTTACATCTTATCAATCTAGTTGATAAAACCAATTGACCTCTTTACACCCACATATGTATCACCACACTGAGTTTCTTAGGAAAATTACCCCCTTCATTCCTTTATCTTATCTACCCTTCCGCACCCAGGATAAAAGATGTTTTTTTGGTCTATCAAACTTCAATGTTTTGACAGGCGATTTAGCCAAACTACTGGGAAAAAAGGAAAACTTCGCAAGATTTGATCTTTACAACGCAGCATGCACAACTTCACGTACAATGCCATCACCTGAATTACAGTCAGTTATAGGTGCGTAGGTACTAGAAGTTGGAATCACCTGAAACCACCTGAAACCATCTGAAACCACCGATGAAACCACCTGAAACCATCTGAAACCCCCAAGGAAATCATCTGAAATTACCTGAAAATATCTCGAAACAATTTAAAACAACATGAAAGCAGCTAAAAAATTATGGGTAACATGAGAAAATAAGTGTCAACAATCAAGTTTATCCACAGACAGCCCAGCTTACAGATATCGTGTATAATGCCCTACAGTACAGAATAGGCACCACAAACAGGTCTTCAAGGAAACATTCCATTGTTCTTATTGAAAACACTAAATTAGCTCTATGAATGGCTGGGAGTTGCACGGGAATATGCGAATTCATTTCTTGACAAAGCACTTGCGTGACAATGACAACATGTGATCGCGAATGCAAAGAAGAAACTGTTTTAAATCGAAAGAAATACGTGAAGTTTTTTCAACGGGACCATGCAAATTATATATGAAAAAGCCCAGGAAGGTCTGAAGATTTTCAAACTTCCTAAGGAAATTTTGAACATTGTGTTACTCTTTAATCAGAGACGAATTTATTGTGTGACCTAGAATTTCACTGACTTTGTTTTTGCAAAAGTGAAGTATATGTGGATTTTTTACATGGTATTTTACTGCAAATGACAGAATATAGCTGATGAATGGTGGCTTTAACTTCTACTGCCTAAGTAAATTGACTAGATAGTTGAGATTTTGAGAAAAAAAAAAGCCTAAAGCCCAGTTTGTGGTGCCTATTCTGTACTGTAGGGCATTATATAGGATATCCGTAAGCCGGGCTCCCTGTGGATAAACTCAATTGTTAACACTTATTTTCTCATGTTACCCATAATTTTTTAGCTGCTTTCATGTTGTTTTAAATTGTTTCGAGATGTTTTCAGGTAATTTCAGATGGTTTTACTTGGGGGTTTCAGATGGTTTCAGGTGGTTTCATCGGGGGTTTCAGATGGTTTCAGATGATTCCAACTTTTATTAACTACGGTTATAGGTGGCAAAACATCTCACCTTGCCATATATCCTATATAATGCAAAAGAGAGTGATCTCCATCATTTGTCCTTATGCGTCATATTTCGAATGTTTGGCCAGGTTCGACTTAGTAACCTTGCACGCGAGACACGTGGCTCTGTGTAGCAAGCTTTTCGAGTCTATCACGTCATGCGTGGATCACAAACTCGTGCCTGTCTTACCTCCTAAGAGAGAACACAGATATAA